TGGGGACATACACAGCATTTAGAACCCACCGTCAAGGGCTCAGTTTACTAGGGTATTGGTGCAAACCAACCTGGGAGCGAAAGATGAAGGGGTTACCTGTGCCTGCTGGGGTGAGTGTCTCCCTTCTGGCAGTACACGAGCTATGTTCTTGTCAGAAAACAGAACTGCGGTGGCAACAGTAGCCTCCCAGCCTGGGAGTATCGCATTCACTTTGCAAGGAGGCATCAGAGGGTTTTACATGCCACAAGAATGATTAACTCATGGGCCAAAGTCAGGGCAAATGTCCCTTGTAAAACAGCCCTTTGAACAACAGTCTCTGCACAGGCTGTGTGTACTCGCAGGTGCCACTGCCCTTTTACCCAAGGCCTTATCTGTAGCTTAGTCTCCTACCCCTAGAGGGCTACTAGGGCTACCCAGCACATCTGGGCAGTCCAAATTGTTCCAGGCCATACCCAGTCCATGGTTTGTCGCTGGTCCACTGTTCAGGGCCGGAGGCAAAACATTGTCCTGACGCCCAGGCTTAAGCAAAATGTCCATAGTCTGTGCAGCAGGATGGGCCAGCAGCCCCGTTCGCTCCTCTTATTCAGAGTCCGTGACACCTCCCAGAGAGGTCGGCTCCATCCGCCTGTGTCGATGTGTGAGCACCGCTCACGTCCTTGTTTCGACAAGTGGTGGTGTGTTATGACGTCAGGGGAGTGCACCACTCCGGGAACCTCCCCTCAATGCCCATATCCTTAGCCCACGGTTGGTGGACTGTCCACCCGTTCAGGCACCAGGTGGAAATCCAAAAATTCAGGCCTCTGTATGCCGCCCAACGGTTGGTGCAAACCACCAAGGGGAGGGGTTTATCAAAAACATTTACATACAACATTTAGAGTTTACAGGGGTGCAAACCTTGTCTTATATCACACAGTGTTGTCCCCGGGCGCACAGCCACAGCTGTCCACACAGCCGGCTGGCCCCAGTGGAGTCAGTGTCCACCCCTCCTTCTACGGACTAGGGGCAGCCTGCACCATGCCCACTCCTAACTCTACTACAGTGCCCGAGGCCTTTTATGGCCTCCAGCAGTGGGTACTGTCTGGTGTCGGTCACTTGCCTAGGAATGGGCAGCTGGAGGGGTGGACACTCAGCACACCTGCACAACACTGCCTCTACCACACATTTCCCAAGGCGAAACTCTCCAGCCATGGCCTGTAAGCAGAGCACAGATGCACCTGATAGATTTAAATCAAAACATGAGGATAATGAGCACAAACAATAATGGGCTGAAGACTCTTATTTCAAGAAGAGAATTTTTCAGGCTGCACCGAAAAGCAAGACCCAATGTAATAATGAGCCCAGCTCCTACTTTGAGTGCTGACAGCCCTCTAGTTCCACCCTTCTCTTCCTCTGCCACACCTGGGCTAGCTGGTAATAATGTCCTTGCACGCCCTCTCTTGGCACCCACAGGAAGCACCACCAAGCAAGCCAGGACCCAGCACGTAGGCTCACTCCCCCCATAGCCAAGGCCATCCTGCCACTGGAGCCAGGTGCCCTGCCATGCTCGCCCAGAAAGCCTCAGACTACTACAAATGGAGCTACCATATGAGCCAGCCATTCCACTCCTAGGAATCTACCCAAAGGACACAAAAACTTTAATTCACAATGATACCTGCACCCCTATGTTTATTGCAGCACGATTCACAATAGGTAAGATATTTTGGCTGTTTCCAAAATGCCCAAAAATAGAGGGCTGAGTCAAGGAGATGTGGTCTAGCTACACAATGGAATACTATTCAGCAATCAAAAAAGATAAACGTATCATCCACAGCAACATGGATGGAGCTGGAAGGGATTATGTTCAATGAAATAAGCCAGAAGGAAAAAGAAAAATATCGGATGGTCTCACTTATAGCAGGAATGTAGGGGGACCAAATAAGGGACCAGGAAAAAAATAAGTATAATAAGTTAAAAAAAAACAAAATAAACAGGCAACTATTAACCAGAGACACTCTGTAGGGGAGGGGGAGGGAGAGAATCAAAACAGGGGCGAGAAGAGCAACAAGGGACTTTGGCCATGGTGCGCAGGTGAACTGGTGTTGGGGATTTGTGGGGATTACACCTGAGAGGAGAAAACAAACATTGTACAAAAAGGGAGAACATTGTAAAATATATCTAAAATAAAGAATAAATATATACGGGCACTTCCCTGGTGGTGCAAGGGGTTAAGACACAACCTATGAAGCAATCTGCAGCCTCTGCAGCACGAGTTTGATGCCCGGCCAGGGAGAAACCCACCTGGCACAGCAGACCTTTCCTGTCTCGCCCGCTGCTCCTCTCAGCAGTGTACTTCGGTCCTTCTGCCTGTTCTGTTTCCCCACTCTGTCTCTGGTGAATCCTCTCACCCCCACGCCTCTGACTGTACCCCAGTGCTGGCATAAATAAATAAATCTTTAAATAAATAAATACATATATATGAGTAATAAAGATATTCATACTTTCTTGCTGCCTCAGCAGCCTCAAAGTTCAAATCAGTTCTCCCCCTGCGGAGTGAGGAAAGCCCATTTTACCTCCATGGAATCAACACAAACACACTTTTTTTCAACATTCTTAAAGGTAACATTGGCTAACAACAGTGTATGTGATTTAGGGGTACAGGTTCACACCTCTAGGTGTATGTCACCACACCACAGTCAGAACCAAAGCACCAACAACTAATTCTCTGCCATTTGCCCCCACCTTCGCCCTCCATAGCCTCAATTCTGCGATCACATTTCTAGGGGTTTTTTTGGTTTGGTTTGGTGTGTTCCTTTCTTTTGTTTCTTTATAATCTACATATGAGTAAAATCATCTAGTATTTGTCTTTCTCCTTCTGACTGATTTTGCTTAGTATCATCCCTTCCTGTTCCACCCATGTTGTCATAAATCGCAAGATTTCATCTTTTTTTTATAACTAATAGAAGGACACATTTAGTTAAATGACAGGATGGACAAAGAGAAAGCATGCCAGCCCTTGCCATATGAAAAGCTGAATGGTTACGTTACTATACCTATAAGCCTCAAGATAGGACTGTTCTGAGGGATGGAGAAGTATTGGCAGGTGATAGACACACAGTGGAAGAACAGAAGAACAGAAACAGCCCCTCACATATGTGTGTGTGTTTGTGTGTGTGTCTACATATATGTAGATATAGATATAGATATAGATATAGATATATAAATGAAGTTTCCAAGGTAATTGATTCATGGGGTAAGGAAGGTCTCTTTGCCAAATGATGCTGAGATCATTGGATGTCCACATAAAAAACAATGAACCCCAACCCTTCACAGTTTAATTCAAAATAAATCATGTATCTAAATGTAAATGCTAATGCCATGAAAGGTCTAGAAAAAAATAGCAAAAGTCTTTGCAAACTTAAAAAAGTCAGAGAATACTTAAATAAGACAGAAAAAAACTATGAAAGAAAAAAATTAATATAAAATATTAATATAATATATAAAACTGCTCTTAAAATATAAAACTGCTTTTCAATGATGCCATCCAGACATGCAATCTGGATAGATGACAGAATTTTTATTCAGAATTATTAAAAATAATTACAAGTCCATAATAAAAAAATAAACAATCTAATTACTATGGGCAAAATGCTTCACACAAGGCGATTTGGTCAATATCCACTGGAAAAAAATAACTCATTATTCATAAGGGAAATGCAGGAATTCAAACCACAATGGGGACCACCCACAAACCCATGAGAACAGCCATAACAAAGACCAGCCATGTCAACCATTGGTGTAGACACAGAGCATCTGGGAAGCTCATACATTGCTCATAGGAGTGGAACACAGTAAACCACTTAGAACATATTGGCAGGTTTTTACCAGTTTAAGCATATACAATATGACCTAGCAGTTTTAGTCCTAGACGCCTACCCAGAAAAAATGAAAACACGTCCATGCAAAGACTTAGGCACAAAAAAGTGCTTATTATCATGATGAAGAGTAGCCAAACGCTGGCAGAGACACAAATGCCCATCAACGGGTGAAGAGATGAACAAAACGTGGCTTCTCCATACAATAGAACACTATTTGTCAATAGAAAGTAATGGGCCAGGACTCATGGATGACTGTCAAAAACAGCTAAGTCAATAAAAGTACTGAGCCAAAGAAGCCAGACACAGAATACAACATGTTAGGTAAATCCATTCAGATGAAACTCTGGAAATGCTAAGTCTGCTCTGTAGTGACTGGAGGTGGGCCAGCATTTGCTTGGACCAGAGTTGAATGGGGGTGGTTGACGAACCGCCAGCCAGGGCACCTTAGAGGGATGAAAATGTCCTGTATCTTGGATGTGCTGGTGTTTTCCCAGAGGCATTCATTTATCAAAACTCATCAAGTTCTAGGCTTCAACTGAGTGTATTTCACCTTACGATCACATCTATTTCACAATATCAAAATGCTTATTCCACTGACAATGGATCATATATTTCAAAAAAGATGAGACTCTAAGACTCTCTGCCTGGCATATTGCTCCACTTTGTGCTTGTCTTAGAGTTTCAATTTATGTTAAGCTAATGTGCTTCTAAATTCTCTTTCCTATGGACACTTTGCCAAACAGTTGCATAAGAAAGAAAAAAGTAACACATGAGTTAATTGTTTTATTTTACCAGTGTATTTATAATATGCCAAAATATTAGAACTGGAGAGACTCCCCAAAATCACTAGTCTGTGTTCTCATTTGTGCACAAAACTGCAACAAGACTCATATATTTTCAGAAGAAATCAACAGGAGATTGTTTTTAAAAAAACAAACTTTGATTTAATTTACTTTATGCATTACAAAAGGACATTTTGCATTCAAGGAAAATTGTAAATACACGATGACAGTCGTGAGGGCATCGATTTGGGTGGTAAAACTGGAATGCAAAGACAACAAAAGTTAAGGAGCGGGCTGTCCCCACCACTGCATGAACAGCCAGCCCTGGCACAGGTGCTGGTTCTCTGCCAAGGCAACTGCTGTGCTAAGGAGATGAAAATCGGCCAAAGAAGAGGATGCTGTCGGAGTCGTTCTGTCTGATGAAGAACAGGAAAGGGTGACTGCAGTGGAAACTTTCATCACCGAGGGCTGATGTGACCGCAAAGTCCACGCCCGTGCCTGCTGTGGCCTCCGTGCCTTCCTCGTTCACCACCACGAAGGACTTGTGCAGGAACTTCTGAGCGTGCAGCCCCGAGTAGGAGCGTGTGCCCGAACTGTCCACGCCCGGCTCTGGGAAGACGCCCTCCATCCCCAGCACCGCCAGGACGGCCTCTAGGTCGTAACTGTCCTCCACTTCAAACCGGGGCAGGTGCAAACTCACGCTTCTCTCCTCCATCTGCCCTGGGCTAGTCCACTCTACTAACTTCTCAGGAGAGAGTTTATCTATGATCTATTAAGAAGGAGAAAGGAAGACTGGCATGGTTATCGATAAAAATGTCATTTCTTATTCTATCAATCTAACACAGTTCATATTTTACTATTCCCTCTAGTCTTTTTTTTTGTAAGATTTATTTATTTATGCATACAAGAGCTGGGCTGCAGGCTAGAGGTGTGAGGGGTGAGAGGATTCAGCAGAGACAGAGTGCGGAACAGAACAGGCAAATGTACTGAGATACACTGCTGAGGGGAGCAGCGGGCCAGACAGAAGAGGTCTGCTGTGCCATGTGAGCAGCTCCCTGGCCAGAAATGGAACTTGTGCTGCAGAGGCTGTGGATAGCTTCACAGTGCTGTACTTAACCCCTGGTGCCACCAGAGAGGCCCCCCTCTAGTCTTTGCAACAGGTATAAGATATAATTTTATATGTAATAAATTATACAGAATAAATATATCATAACCAATATAATTCATATTATACTATATAATATTAAAATATAGAATATATATTTCTATAGCTGCCATCATAGCGTATGTCCATTTTACGTGTTTTAATGTAAGCTTTTTTATACTACTGCATCTCTCTCCTAAATATCTTCAAACTGATATTTCCATCAAGTTGGTAAATTTTATCTGCCATTCACGCATTGATTTAAATTGATTTAAATTCCAGAAGGGTCCTAAGGACTCCGGGTGATAATGATGTATGCTCACAGTACATCAGTTACAACATATGTACCCTCAAGTGAAAAATGTTGTTTATGGGGGAGGCTGTGTACGTGGGGGCAGGAGGTATGTGGGAAGTCTCTGTACCTTCCTGTCAATCTTGCTATAAATCTTGCTATAAATCCTTAGGGCCCTTAAAATTGATTTAAATTCCAGAAGTGAAAGCAAAATAGAGGGAAAACAGGGCCTTACCTTCTCCAGCCCATCTATGTCATTGGGCAGCAACACAAACATGCTCAGGTTGTTATTTTTATATGGAATCCCTAGAATCTTGGCTTGCAGGTCCTCCAGGAAAGTAAAGCGAAAGGAATCACGCTGTGTCATCATCGGCACAGATTTACTCGTAGTCTGCAACAGATTCAGAGGGCCCACGAAGTCAAAAGAGGGGTAAGACAACCCAGGCAGCTCACTAAAATACGAGCTCAACCTGCAATAATGCTAAAGGTCAGACCTCAGAATCCGCATCGGCTACCTCGCATGTACATTTGCTCAAATAAGAGTCTAGACTTTACATTCCGCGTGTAAGCACACCACATAAATAAATGAAGGGCCATACCTTATTCAGCCAAAATTCCTCCTCCTTGGTATTTTCTTTCTTAAACTCCCTGTCCCATTGCCCTTTAAAATAAACTATGTTCACCACCACCAGCTTGGTGGAGTTGCTTATAGAGCCATCTGAAAACAGGTCCTTGATTTTTTCTGCAAACGAACAACAACAACAAAATTGGCCCTTCTTCAAAATTACAAGTGCTATGCATGGCAGATACAACGCGTGGCCTTGACTGATCACTTAAATCTCAGCCAGGTCTGCACCGGAAGAACTAAGCAATCAGAGGAGGGTCTCCCTTTGTCCATCACATATTTATCCCACTGGGGAACTTGTGGTGTGATGGCCGGGAAGCAGGCACTGGGTTCAGATTGCCTGTTAGCAGCCAGGTTTGCCTTTAATCAGCTGACAGTTCTTGGGCAAGTTATTTAAGCAATCTGTGCCTCTGCGTCCACATCTGCCTCACAGGATGTTAAAAGAAGAGCTGATTTGATGTGTGTAAAGCACTTAGATCCATCTCTGGTTCCTAATAAGCTCTGGACAGGTGGTAGCTATTATTCTTTTTGCACATCAATACAGAAGCCACCCAGATTTAGAGATTTCTTATTTTATTGAAAAAGGAATGATGTTTTTTATTTCTGCTTTAGCATACTCTGGATTCAGCCCACCCTTTGATAGACTCTATTTTAGCCTGCTTTTTGATTTTTATTTCCTTTGGACTAAATATAAATGGAAATGTGCTTTATGAGATAATAGATGTATCCCCCAAAACTGGTATAAAAATATATTGTGAAACTCTAAAAAGAATGTATCAGTCATCGTGTCCAAAGTGTGTTTCCACATTAACATTCCTCTCGGTAGTTCTCGGGCATTTGGGTCATAGCAGGGATGTGGGGAAGTCAAGGCAAGGGTCAAGTTCTCCACTGTGGAGGGACTGAGGGTTGTCATCAGCCCCACCCGGCTCTCCAGGGGAGACAAGGCTCTGACAGCCTGTGCTGTAGGAACAAGACAGGTCTTGATCCGAGAACTGAATGCTTCTCACTTTGACAAAGAGAGGAGAAACCCCCTATAACACTTTCACTACGGACCCAGCCTCCATCAAAAAGCCTCTGATCTATTTTTTTTGTTTTTTTTTAATTAATAATAAATTTTATTTTTATATTCCCCATACAATTTCAAACCCCCCCCCGATATAAAGAAGATGTGAACCCAAGACAGACATGAGCCCAGTTTCAGGAGCCCCAAAGATGATCGTGACACACAGCCACATGAAATAATCCTGCACTGACTATTTCCGTGGAATTTGCTCCCTCCCTGACCCCACTGGCTCTTCTCAGAGACCCACTGCTGAGACCTTCCCGCCCTCTGCAGTACCTTCTCCCACCTCTCGAGCCCAGCCCTGCTCTTCCATCTCAAGCCCCCCAGATGTGTGCACCCCGGCACGCACGCAGTGTCAAGCACAGGCTTCACTCACAGCGGGGACTCAGAAGCGTGTTTACGGTGAACGACCCAGTGATACTCTACCGTTGGTTTGGCTTTCCACCCAGGAGTTAATCTTCTTTCGACTTTCATCCGCTGCATTGACAAAGTCAACTGTCTCCATAGAAGCATGGTAATATTTCTCAACATAATCTAAGTATTTCTTTAAGAGAAGCAGGGAAGGAAGAGCAAGAGCTTAAAATTTTGATTTATTCACTGCCAACAACTCTAAGTAAATTTATCTGCACATTAAAATGACTAATGTTGTAAGCAGGGATTTTTAGATCCAAGGCAAATCACTTTGAGAACTTTTATGAACACTGTTATGCAGGTACAATAAGGTTAAGGCAAAAGTGAGATTCAGACCGCCAGGGTTAAAAAGAAGTTCCCAAAGGCCTGGCTGTCTGGAGAACAGGAGGGGAGCACCCCTAGTGATGGGGGCTGAGCCAGCTGTCCTCTGAGGCTGCCGGCCCCCACCACCCACCCAGGTGGCCTCCCAGGCCATCTGACGTGCGTGAATAGTACTCACAGTGTGGAGGGCACAGCAAAACTTACTTGAAGGAAGAGGTAAGTCTTTTCTCCAAAGAGCCTATTGGCTATTTTCAGTTCATAATCATTTGTGGGTTGGCTTATCTCACTCAAAACTTTTTGGAATTGGTGATGCAGCTCTTCCGTCTTCTCAATCTACAAAATTGAGACCAACCTCAATGAGTTATCGTGGCAAAAGCAACCCTAGATTCTTCTCCATGAGGACTGCTGGGTTTTCCCTCAGTTTGGCGGCCTTTATAGGGTGGCCCACCAGTCTGGTGTGGCCCCTGATGGCAGGTGGCCTTTATGCAAATCCTATGATAATGTCACAATAATCTCAGCTCCCCAAAGAAACTCGCTCCTCCAGCCTAGTACTACAGATTTTGCTTTTCTGGGTTGAGTTGAATTTTTATCTCAAATGCAATTGCCCACTAAGTGTTTCAAATGCTTGCTTTGACTTCCCACAAGACTTAGTACTAAAGAAAGTAGAGGAGTTCCTGAATGATTCTCATTGTCTAAAGTGGGCAATTTTAATTCGAGACACGGATAAGAAAAGTGACTCCGTTTGTAAACCCATCAGTGTTCTGAGTGAGGACTGAGGAGGGAGCACTCCTTGAGAGAGAGCTGCCCCAACACATGTCCCTAAAATAAGGAGCAACTCTGGCCACCGCCTGTCCAGTGACATCTGGCTGCTTCCATTCACACCCGGTACAAGGGAGAAGCCTTGCAATTGGGAACTAAAGAGCATATTCCTGATGGTGAGGCGACTAGAAAGGCTTCTTTCTCTTGGATATGAAGCCTATGGGTTTTTGTTTTGTTTTGTTTCTTTATTTCATTACTGGTTACTCAATGCCTAGAGTAGTATCTGGCACACAGAAAATAGTTGATTCTTGTGGGTAATTAATGAAACTTGGGGCCTCCCTGGTGGCACAAGAGGTTAAGCACAGTACTACAGAGGTATCCACAGCCTCTGCAGCACAAGTTCGATCCCTGGCTGGCCAGGGAGCTACCCACATGGCACAGCAGACCTCTCCTGTCTCACCCACTGTTCCCCTTAGCAGTGTATTTCAGTGGATCTGCCTGTTCTGTTCCCCGCTCTGTCTCTGGTGAATCCTCTCACATCCCACACCTCTGGCCTGTACCCCAGTTCTTGTATGCATAAATAAATAAATCTTTAAAAAAGTTAATGAAACTTGAATGACATCCAAGTTGAAAATGTAAATGTATGTAAAATGTAAAATATCTGAGGCTGAATTTGACTTTGTCTCCCTCCTTGCTACGATGAGCCTTTAAAAGACTAGTGATGGTTCTGAGGCTACTCAGGTTTCCAGCGATGTGGCATGAATGGCCATTTTAAAGCCTTTTTCCAGAATTGATGGAAAGTATGAATTTCTATATTTAGGAAATACAGTAAATCAGCCTTGGTAAATAAAAGAAATCCATACCTAGATGCATTGTAGTAAAATTCAGGTAAAACAAAAACAAATAACAAAACTTAAATGCAGGGCCTCCCCGGTGGCGCAGCGGTTGAGCCCTGGGTTGCGAAGCTGCCCGCAGTCTCTGCAGCGCCAGTTCGATCCCCGGCTGCTCCCCGGCCACCAGAGGAGGGTCCCACATGGCGCGCAGACCTTTCCTGCCGCCCGCTGCTCCCCTCAGCAGTGTACTTCGGTCCTTCTGCCTGCTCTGCTCCCCGCTCTGGCTCTGGTGAATTCTCACCCTCCCGCGCTTCTGACTGTACCCACCGCTTGTATAAATAAATAAATAAACAAACAAATAAATAAATAAATAAATACATCTTTAAAAAAAAAAAAAAACTTAAATGCAGCCAGAGACAGATCACCCACCAAGAAATAATCAAATAAACCAACTCCTTAACACCAACATGAGACATAGAGCGGGGGCTGGTATCTTCAAAAAGTTGAGAGAAAATATCAACATTGAATTCAATGAGCAGACACTCATTTAAGAACAAAGGCAAATACAAACGGACCTCATCTACCAGGTATATATCTTTAATAGAGGAATTTCCCAGGAATGACGCCAGCAAGATGGCCTAATAAGAAGCCCCAGACCAGCCCTTCTCTGGAAACACTGACTTAGCAACACTACAAGGATAAAATGGCTTTGTAAGAAATTTGGAAACCAGTTGGTATTTTCTGTACCCCAAATGAGCGTGAAACCCAGTACGAAAATGCATGACACTCACTCAACAGTTACTCCCCACACACAACATGGTGCCACTAGGAGAAAACTCCCAACACCTAACTTCTTCCTGAGCAGAGAAGCAGAGGTGCAAAATACATGCCCCACGCTCTGCCTTTTCCACGGGCTGAGGGACTGGCTTCCGTAGTGCCTGACTCTAAGAGCTCACAAGAACCGGCATCAGGTGGGCCAAAGAGAACAAAGGTTAACTGATAGCAGGAATTTAGAAAACCTAAATAAGGGACCAGGAAAAAGACTATTTATAATAAAGTAAAAATCAAAATCAACAAGCAACTATAAACCAGAGACACACTGGGGTGGCGGGGTGGAGAGTAGGATCAAAACAAGGGAGTGGGAATTGTATGGGGACTATAACCAAGATGAAAATGCATACATTGTGCAAAAACGAAAAATGATGTAAAAATATATAAAATAAAATAAAAATGCTCAAAAAAATACATGCACCATGGTGCAGTACCACAAATAGACGCCAGGGAGAGCACCAGGCTAGAAACCAGTAAACCTTTTCAGTTGTATCCCCTGTGCAAGATCCATTCCCAGAAAAGATTCAGGATTAGATCTGCAGAATCTCTAGTCAGGCTGATGGGAAAAAATTCTTTCCATATTAAACCAAACCTAAAAGACTGGGAGAAGCAGCTGATTTTCCAAATGCCAAAGCCCCAACAAATGATAACAAGGTATACAAGAAACAGGAAAACGTGGTCTAATCAAGGGAACAAATAAAATCAGCAACAACCTAACTTTCCATCTCAGAGGAGTAGAAAAAGAACAAACTAAGCCAAAAGTGAGCAGAACAAGAGGAATAAAAAAGATTTGAGCAGAAATAAATAAAATATAGCATAAAAAATAGAAAATAATCAACAAGGAATTGAAGTTTTTTTTAAGAAAATCAACAAAAATGATCAATCCTTAATTAGATTAAAGGGAAAAAAAACATATGACTTAAATAAAATTATAAATAAAGGAGACACTATAACTGATGTCATGGAAATAAAAAAGGCATATGAGACTGCTATGAACAATTGCATACCAAAAAAAAAATAGATAACCTGAAAAAAAGGATAAATTTCAAGTAATATACAACCTACCAAAACTAAATGATGAACAAATTTAAACTCTAAACAGATGTAACCAAAATAATATTTAATCAATAAAAGAAACCTCTAACAAGGTCCAGAACTAGATAGTGTCACTAGAAAATTCTACAGAACTTTAAGGAAGAATTAATACCAATCCACTTCAAAGACTTCCAAAACTTGAAGAGAACATTCTCAAACACATTCAATATGGCCAGAAGTATTCTGATACCAAAACCAGACAAAAACATAAGAAAATTGTAGCTCAATATCCTGATGAATATTGATTCAAAAAAATCCCAACAAAATTCAATAACACATTAAAAACCAAACATAAAGTGACCCTGGGATGATAACATCCCAGGATCTTTATTTTTTAATTTTTATTTGAAAGGTAACTGCAGCCCATGTTTCATTGAAATTTTCATAATTTCAAACCAAATTCAATCACACATTAAAAAGATCATATACCACCACAAAGTAGGATTTATACCTGCAACAGAAGTTCAATATATAAAACTTAGTCAATATAATATGTTGCATCAACAAAATGAAAGACAAATTGATAAGACCATCACAAGGATATACAAAAACATTTGACAAAATTCAACACCCATTCATTATTGGGGGGGAAAAAAGCATTTGAACTAGAAACAGAAGAAACCTGCCTCAATATCATAAAAGTCATGCATGAAAAGCCCACAGCTAACATCACACTGACTGCTGAAAAGCTGAAAACTCCTCCTCTAAGTTCAAGCTGACTTTTGCCATGACTACTCAGCCAATTCAGCACAAACTGGAAATCTTAGCCAGAGTAACTAGAAAGAAAACAAAATCTAATGAAAGCTGTGTAAACTGTGCACAAAGGACATTCTAAAACATTACTGAGAGATGTTATAGATAACTTAATTAAATGGATCAATGTATCATTTTTGAAGATTGGGAAATTTTAACATTATAAATATGTCAGTTCTCCCAAAGTTGATTTACAGATTCAATGTAATCAAAATAAAAAATCTTAATGGGATTTCTTTGAAATTGACAAACCGACTCTAAAATGAATGTACACATACATGTACTCAAATGCAAGGAATAGACAATGGTGATTTGAAAAGAACAAAACTGAAGTCTTATATTACCAGATTCTTACACCTATAATATAACCCATAGGATTAAGACAGTAGTATTAGCACAAGCAGTGCAAAGCAGACCACTGGAATGGACCAGATTTCAGAAATAGATATATATTTATAGATCACTTGATTTAGAACACAGGTGCCGCTTCCAGGCAATGAATTTCAGTAGATGGTACAAAAATTTCAGTAAATGGAATGAAGATAACATAGGACACCATCTTCATGACTTTATGGTAGGAAAAGATTTCGTAAACAGGACACAAGACACTAATCTTAACAGAAAATTTTGATAAGTTGGACTTGATTAAAATTATGAACTTTTGTTCATCAAGGAACATCACAACAGGGTGAAAAAAATCAAACAACAGAGTGAAAGAAGATATTTCTATTACCTATAACTGACAAACATTTCATATCTATATTATATAAAGAACTATTACTCATCAATAAGAAAAAGATAGATAACCCAAGGGAAAGAGTATGCATTAAAGAATTTATGGCATGGTATAAAAGAGATCTCCAAAGAATAATAGGCATATGAAAGGTACTCACCAAAGAAATGCAAATTAAAATCACAATATACTGCTCTACGTACATTGAAAATTATCATTTTTTAAGGACAATACCAAAAGTTGTTAACAGTACAGTCACTGGAACTGTCATCCACTGTTGGTGGGTTGCAAAAGAGTACAACCATTTTGGAAAAAACTATATGGCAGTTATCTACCAGAGCTGAGTATGCTGCCTATGGTCCAGCAACTCCACTCCTGGAAAATACCCAAGAGAAATAAATTCATGTTTGCAAGAAAAGATATGTGCAATAATGTTCACACTGACTTGATTCCAAATAGTCCAAATTAAAACAAACTAAATATTTATCCATAGGAAAATGAACAAATGTATTATGACATGATTATATATGGGAGTATTCATAGCAACAAAAATTAACTATTAATACACCCAAAACATGGATCAATATCACAGACATGTTGCAGACATTTTAGCCTTTCTCCCTCATGACTACTCCCCCAGATAAGTATCTGCTTCTCCCCAGTTCAGGGAGGTGGCCTTCGAGATGGCCTTGAGCTATGGACTTCCACCAACTCTTGTCTCTCAAGTTTTGGTTTTCAAGGGTGAACAGCCAGACCTAGGCTCCAGTCACAGATACAGAGAACAGAGCGGTGGCTACCAGAACAGGTTTAGTAGGTGGTTAAAAGGCCCAAACACCCAGTTTTTAAGTAAATAAGCAATGGGCCTGTTCTGTACAGCATGGTGACACCCCACCCCCCCACAGTTCATACTGTATGCAACATTTGAAAGTTACTAAGACAGTGAATCTTAAAAGTTCTCATTATAACAAAAAAACTGTTACCAAGTCCTATTCAATATATAATTTTTAAAAATTCCGAGAAAGTCGATTATCCCACAAATGCAAATACAGCTTGTTAATGTAATTCACTGCTTTAACAGATAAAAATAATCATATTGTCACCAATAAGTACAGAAAAAAATATATGTATGTGGGTTTGTATCTTACATGAATGAATATGGATGACTGGAAATTGTGAGACTTAAAGGATTTTAAGTCACCCTTTCTTGTTTCAACTGTGTGAAATGGACTTGTTTGCACTGCTGAGAGGGAAAATATTGGTATCATTCCTTTGGCAAAAAATTTAGTAACATTTAATGAAATTGAACATGCATACACCCTACCTCCCAGCTACATGCTATTGGCCAGAGCTGTCACATGGAATGTAATATGGAATCATGCAACCCAAAGATGGGAGGCACATATATAATCTTAAATTGTCTAATAACTACATTCTTAGAAATACAAAGAAACAGGGCCTCCCTGGTGGTGCAGGCATTAAGCTCAGCACTGTGAAGCTGTCCACTGCCCCTGCAGTGAGGGTTCAATCCCAGCCGGCCAGCGAGATACCCACATGGTGTGGCAGACCTCTCCTGTCTCGCCCACTGCTCCCCTCAGCAGTGTATTTCAGTCAACCTGCCTGTTCTGCTCCCTATTTTGTCTCTGGTGAATCCTTTCACCCTCTCACACATCTAGTCTATATCCCAATTCTTTTTTTTTTTTTTTGAAAGATTTATTTATTTTTATACAAGAATTGGGGTACAGGCCAGAGATGTGGGGGGTGAGAGGATCCACCAGAGACAGAGTGGGGGACAGAACAGGCAGACAGACCAAAGTACACTGCTGAGGGGAGCAGCGGGCAAGACAGGAGAGGGCTGTCCTGCCATATGGGTTTCTCCCTGGCCGGCCGGGAATCGAACTCGTGCTGCAGTGACTGCAGATTTCTTCATAGGTTGTGTCTTAACCCCTGTGCCACCAGGGAGGCCCTATATCCCAATTCTTGTGTAAATAAAGAGTTTTAAAAAAAAGAAATACAAAGAAACATATGAAGTCAAGTTGAGCATATGTTTTATCAAATGATGAATGAACATCATCATTTCAACATAAAACTCTAATAAATAATAGTATGTAATAGTCATATGTATTATATAATAAGTATTATATATTCTTTCAAGAAAAACAACAAAAATTCATGAGATCTTTTACATAAAATATAATTTAAAAAATACATATTTTTTTCTCTGCCCCCAGTTCCTGATCTAGAACTCCCCAAACCCTTGTAATTTCCTGAGTGATAGGGATCACTGAAGTATAAGTATCACTGATAAGTATCACTGATACTTCAAGTATCTTCTGAATTTGTTTGGTTGTTTATTTTAGCATCTTTTGTTTTAATCATTGCTCTTGGACTCCAGTTCTTGACACAATATCCTAAATCCCTTAGATTTTCCAGAGTGATAGAAGCATCTTTTGTTCTAATGAATCAACTCTTGCTGGATCCTGAGTAACTGCAAGACAAGGGTTAGTCACCAGAAAAACCAAACCACAAGCAGAATTTGGGATTTCCAGTCCACCCCCCACCCTCCAGGGACAAGAAAGAGACTGAAGATTGAGATTGAAGATTGATCTTGCCTGTGTGATGGAGAGCTATAAAGAGTCTGGATGCTGGCTTTGGAGAGCTTCTAGGTTGCTGAGCACATCTGCGCGAGGGGAGGATGGTGCACCCCAAACTCCAGGGGATAGAGCTTCTCCTTTGTGATCTCACCCTCTGTACCCTGCCCATTTGTACCTTTCACAGTAAACTGCTAACCATAAGTAAAGTGTGTCCTGGGCTCTGTCAGCCACGATGGCAAAATACCACACATCAGAAGGGGGTCACGAGATCCTCTGGTGTGCAGCCAAGTTGCAAGAATTAGCACTTCTTGCAACTTCTTGCAACTGGCATCTGAAGTGGGGAAAGTCCTGCGGGACGGAGCCCTCATCCTGTGGGTCTGCCTGACTCTGGGCAGTCAGTGTTGGAATTGCTTAAGGAGAGGAAGGCAGCCATAGCTGGTGTCAGAAGAGCTGTGAGTAGAAAAACAATTTTCTTTTAACAATATTTTCATACTAAGTTTTTCAAATCCAGTGTGTATATGACACTCGCAGCACATTTCAATTTGAACTGGATATGTTTTAAGACTCTATAACCACTGGGATGGCTGCCACGTTAGGTAGTTCAGGATTTGAGAGATTCTCATCCATGTAAACTACTAAGGCTTAAATAAGGAGGGTCACTTTTTTGTAATGGGGAGGAAAAAGAAAAGGAGGGACAGAGGGAAGGAGAAAAGAACACTCCATCCGAAGGCTAAATGGATTAATAGTTGAAAAAATGAATTAACTAGAGCTGCAAGTATCCACCTAAAATAGATTAATCTTGTAAGTATGATTCTGGACCAAAAATTAATCAGGTTGTAAATAATAATATCAAGGCAGATACTACATGATATGAAATAATCTATATATGGGAATACAAACACCAAATTAGGATCATGAACTTTTTCCAAGAGAGGAAATGTACTCAAGGAAAATATTGGGGTGTTAGTTGACTTGGTAACAATGTATTTCTTCCAGTGGAAAAGAGGATTAAAGGGTATTCAGAATTACAGAATTGCATTATTCCTTATACCTTTTGTACATAATGTTTTAAGATTTTTATCTTCAGTATTTTATATTTTTGTTGAGGCAGCACTGATCTATAACATAATACAGGCTCCAGATGTAAAGCATTATAATTCCACACATGTATATGCTACATCATGATCCCAACAAGAGTCTATACATCCTACATTATAAATACCACCAACAGTCTAATTTCCATCCAGCCACAACATCAAGGCTCAAAATATTCTGAATTTACATGATAAACACACCGCTGGCCTGTCTCTGAACAAATCATATGCTCATCCACAGAGAAGACTCTGGAGCAGATGGCCTGTGGCTATGTCCTGGTCCTGAGGGCCTTAGAATCTGTCGTTCTGTTCTTCACACCACTGTGACTCCCCAAAAACTGTTGAGGAGCGGACAGAGCTGCTATGCAATGCAGAAATGTATGCATCATGACCTGCACCAAGCCGAATTCAAACCTCACCCCAGTTCCCAAGCCAGGAGTGGGGTGTCCCTCCAAGGGGGCATGCTATATCCAGCCACACACAGATGCCCTCCCACCATGCTTGAGGGAACATGCTCTGAAGACAACCATGTTCCTTGATGGAGTGGACAGTGGAGCAGCTACAGGACCCAGCCTTGCTGTTCAAACTATAAGGAAATTTGACTCTTCTTGGGCAGCTCAACCACCCAGACAACCTGGCCACGTGCGGTTGTGAGAGGAACAACTCATGACGTCAGCTATGACTTCATGAGAGTCTAGGAATGGGCTCTGATGACGTCAATGTCGGCGCACCCTTCCTGAGATACAGTCAGAATCCGTGAGCTTCGCCCCTCTCTGGTGTTTGCGCCCTCTCCTGGGATGGAGGAATGAACACCACAGTGCTGGAGCTCAAGAGACCCCAGGAAGGCACTGGTCCTGTGCCGATGTTTCTTTCAATAAAACATCAGCAGGGGGACTTCAAATTCAAATAGAATATAATAATAATACCACCTCCTGCTACCCAACACCCCCAGGTGAGTACAGCATGTCCAGACGCCCTACTGGACACTTCACATAGGGGCAAAGAAGACGAATCCCTTGCCCACAGGAGCACGGCTGCTCAGTGACCGAGCCAGGCCTGGAACCCGACTCTATTAAACTCCAAAACCCATTCACCTTGCTCTCGGGCTTTCTCCATCAAGGAGCCTTTCCCAGGATACGTCTTAGTCTGTTGTGCATTGACATTAAGGTCTCTTCTGAGCGTGAAAGGTTTGTTATTGCTGCATGTTCCTAGCAACATTATTTGACAGCAGGGATTACTGTGGCTTGTAAGGGAGTGTCAGGCGTTACCTGTTCTATGCACTTCCCCAGGGAGTCCACATCTAGAAAGCAGCCATACTGCAGGTGCAGGACGTGTCTCGCCTCCTCTTTCTCTTCAGTTTTGATTCTTGTGCTCTTTGTGTCTTTTTCAGAGCAAAGCATCTGCGAGGGACAGAAAGCACTATAGAGAAAACCTCAGCCCCATCAGCAGGGGACCGTGAGTGCTTGTTGAGGACAGGTGCATGGTGCGCAGGTAACAGCCCTTTCTGGGCAAAGTCATGAAGGAGCCTATTTGCCCCCTGATGAACTCGGAGGCGCCAGCCTTGGCTCATCCATTCCTGTGTTCATCTCTGATGTGTCATTTCCACCCTCCTGGGGATTAAGCAACTTCTCCCAATCAATTTTGTCCTTCATGCCCCCTCTTTAACTACGAGGTCAAAGGCTTATGACAAGGCCACTCACCCAGCCCCCAAGCCAAAGAATTTCGAGCGCCAGGGAACAGACGGCATATGGTGGCATTGCAGAGGAAGGAGGGCTTCTTGACAGACCTGAAATCTCTCCGTCTTCACATGCTGTCTCTATTTCCTGGCCCACAGGCCGAAAGGAGCATGTTTCTGAGGGGACGCCGGTGTGCTACCCCAGAGACCCGTCTGTGGCTGCAAAGCCACGGAATCCCACCTACCTTCTGTAACGGGGTGGTGGTGGCTCCTTGGGCCCCAAGGAGGAGCATGCCGGCCGCAGTGGACATGCCAACAGGAGAAAAGAAGATGTTACCATCCTTTATTTTATTCAGCTCTTTGAAAAGTTCAAGGCCAAACCGAGTATATGCTGAACCGGGCGAATCCATGGTAAGTCCAGCGAGCTGTGAAACAGCAGCAACAACCAAAACCAGTGAGCACTTTTCACGGAGTGGAATTATTTGATGTCACGAGGACTCTTTCCCCTTTTCTTCCACATTGTCCAGAAAATGGGCCTTTTCACCCCCTGCATGAAGAGTCACTCTTGCCTGTTCTCACCCCTGCCCTTGACAGCCACCTGGCAGCTCGCAGTGACTCTCAGCTCTCGCGGCCCCAGGGAGCAGGGTTTTATTCTCAGATGGTTTTATTCTCTCGTTCTCTGTCAGAACCTGCCTGCATCCGCCTCCACTGCCTCCTCCCTGTGCCGTGCTCCTCCGGGCAGGCCCAGCCCCTGTCCTCCTAGGTCTGGCCTGTCCAGCTTCTGGGCCCAACCAGGCAAGGGGTGGACTAGGAATCCCCAGCACCCTCGGGTCTGCACAAGGCCCTGCCATCCAGACTTGACAACGGTAAGTGCGTTCTCTAAATAGTTTCTATTTCTTCATTCAAATCCAGGGCAGAGAGAGTGGTGGGAGAGATTAATTCTCTGCTTTTAAGACAATTCATCTTTAATTGCATGAAAATTTGATGCTGGGCTAAATTTTCCCTAAAGGGCAATGATATGTTTCTAACCCTTGATTATCAAGCAGAGAAGAGAGGGTTTTCTTACACCTACTTTTCCAGAGTGTTTTAGGGTACAGTGGGTTCCTATTACTCTTGTTACATCACAGAAAAGTTAATGTTTCAAGAGCAACTCAAATTCACCAAAATGAAACCAATAAAACATTTTAGAGTTTCTTCATCACCAGCTATGTTACAACTAATCAATAAAGCCTTCAAGGAAAAATCCTCAAAGAATTCAATCAACGCAGATTAGACACATTTTGAAAGTATACACAGGTAGAGGATTTTTACTATCAAAGCCCCAACCAGTTTGTTTGAACAGTTTGCTGGTCAAGCTTCCATTTCAACCCCATGTTTTCTTACAGAAGTTCCTTGCAGGTTAATTTAGAAATAAAATGAATGAATTCACTGTCAAACAAGATGAAGAAAATACTGGCATGGCTATACAATCACTAAATTAAATAAAACCACCCTCAGGAAAGTTATGCACTATGCAAGGATAGTGCAAGTATTTCTTTCAATCAATAAACATCAGTGTTCTCAACACACAGAAATCTTACGCTGAAACTGAAGGAAGAACTTACCTAACTTTTGGAGAGACAGAGGTGGCTGGGCAGGGAACCAGGGAGCAGGTGTAAAATGAGGAGCTGAGATCTTTAATTTATAGCTCCTGTCTGCCTCTCCCTAGTCATTATAGTTTGCATTTCCGGTGAAACAACTTTTGGTTTCTCAATGATGATTTCTCTAATAAAATTAGCACATGAGGTGGAAGGAAAACCGAGGACTGAATTTTCTATTTCTTTCATCAGTGTCCATGAAGGAATGCTATTGAAGTTGTCAGCAATTGTGTTGTGAACAAAATCTCAAGTAGCATAGAGGAAGAGAGTTAAATTCCATCTTCTCCCAATCCCCGAGACATTCCTTTGCATGCAAGCATAAGATCTAAATTAACCAGAATACAAAATAAGACCCGGGACTAAAGGACGGCCTGAGAATGGCCAAGTTAAATAAATTATGACCCAACAGGGCAGACAATGGGAAGCACTTCATTCCCAATGATAGGGGAGCCTCTGCAAAGAATAGTCTAGAACACCAGTGCCCCATCTTGGATGCACATGAAAATCTGGGGAATTTTAAAAATATATATCTATGCCTCAGCCCCACCCCCAGACATGAGTCAGCCTGCCTGGGGTGGAAACCAGACATCAAAATTTTTATCACCCCAGGTGATTATGATGTACAACCAAGGTTGGGAACCCGGGTTTATGGTCTGATGAAGACCTGAGTGAGTGCCTACTTCAGTCACTGCAGACGTAAGAGCTGTGTCCTGACAAGACCAGCCTCTGGGTAAACTTAACTTTGCAGTGATGTTATTTGGGGATGTCAAATGCAAAGAAGAAAATGTAAGAAAGCTATCTCAGTGAGAAAAGTTTGGGCAGACAGCTAACACAGCCCCCATACTTGCTCTCAAGTATTTTATATACTAATTATGAAATCACTCGTTTTAATTCATTTAATAAACATTAGCTGAGTGTCTACTATGTTCCAGACACTGGGCTAAGTGCCAACAATTCATCAACATCTAACAAGCGCATAGATTTCAGGGAAATAACACTATTAAAAAAATTCAATAGAAATGACAAATCCAATTCCAGTTTTTCCTGCCAACCCTGGGGCATACCTACTGGCTCTACTAGTTCATCAAAAGAAACAGCTTTTGGATTAATCTTGGCTTTAGTCTTATGTAAAGGGTGTGAAGATTCTCCATTGTTGCCAAGCAGCAAATCCTAGAAGGGCATCTTAGCTCTTCCCTCTCATATGCAATGTCTGCCCAAAGAAACAGTTGAGCAACCCAGCATCCCGAGCAGGGACGGAGTGCATCAACCTCCCCATGCACAGTTGGCTTCTTTTTAAAATTTTGATGAGGGTCCTTTTGTTAGGGGGAAAGGATGTCCTAAGATAATCCCATACAGGCTTTGTGGACGCCACCCCCACTCCAGACCAAAGCCATCAAGACATTGGGAAAGACAAATCCCATCACCACCAAAGGGAGGGTGGCTGGGACCTGAGGGTGGAGTTGGGCAGCCAGGTTGGATATAAAAACCAAACACGTGGGCCTTGGGGTCTCTCGCGATCGCTGGCCTCCTGGCTTCACGGCTCCTGGCTGGTGGCCAGCTCTCAGAGCTCCATTTTGGGATTCCTGATCGGGTAGGACTCATTTAAAACTTTGTCCCCCACTTTTCTCCCTGAGCTGTACATTTCCTCATTTCCCCTTCCCTTGTCAATAAACCTCTTAGTAACCTTTTGCATGTGCCTGCAGTAGAGCATTGATAAGTCCTTTCAAGCGCGCGGGTGAGGACCCACAGTCAGGCACCCCGTTTTGTATCGGGGTTGCTCTACAACACTTTAAGCAAATTCAGCCATATTTAACTTTGCTTTCTAATAGTCTGTCACAGACAAATACGAAAAAATGAGTGAGGGTTGGAAAGAATTGGCACTTGCTGGTCAAGTTCACCCTGGATGCCAATGAAATGAAAACATTCATTCTAAAAAATGGTTTGAAAGCTTGGAGTTGGCAATCGTGTTCTATCGCTTAAAGTCCCTAAAAGTTTATGTCTTCTAGTTCCTTTCTCTGTGACCCGTAGACTCCCAGTTCTATTGTCCAGCTACTTCTATAAGCCTTCTGCCTTTCCTCTATCACAGGGAAACTCGGGTTTCCTCTGAGAAACCCACCACATACCACAAAGACTTCCCTGGGGACGCTCATTAAAATCTTGAGCTCAGAAAGGAAGGTCCCCATTCCTGGTCTCTCTCCTACTTTAGCTACCTTCAAGGCTTTCTTCCTTCAACTGCCTTCCACATTCCCCTTAGGGGATTTCCACTGCCTCACAGTGACCCCCTTCCAGCCCCAGGCCCAAGTGTGTACACAGCACAGGGTCTTCCTGCCCACTCTGACAGTTATCACCCTTCTGCACGTCTTCACAGCCCGTGTGGGTGGCATCACTCATCTCCCTGATGCTCACCTTCTCTCTTCCCAGAGCCCACACACCGGGTCACGCCCTGGGCACTGTCACCACAAGAAACTGTTCCTGTTGTCCATTACTGGACACCTTCAGGTTATAGATTCTCACCCTCGTTTTCTGTAAGCTTAAGGTTCAATGTGATCACAACCTCATTATTATTCCATTTTATGTATCAAAACTGTCCCAAAGGTAGAATATATGTTGGTGATTAGGAACCATAAAAATGACTCCTATGCTTATGGGTAAAGAGAGAAAATAATTAAGCCCTGAACTAGAATACTAATGGGTTCCCACCCCATCCCACGTTTTGGCACAACGTCTGCATGCCTGTTACTGCTACTGGCTTGTAACATTTTTATTCTCCAAGCCTATAAAGTTGTAATTGGTATTATTGGGATCCCAACCAGATTCCCTCACTAATCACTTCTCCTACCATCCAATAGCTGTTTGGGCAGATAAGTCACAGCTGCTCTGTTTCAGTTGACCAACTGTCAGCTAAATGGGTGCTACCTGCCCCAAGAGGCAGGCAGCACCCCACCCCCGTCTGGACACACCTCATGATGGTGACTCACTAGCATAAAGGGTATAAAAGGTCAGGATGGTCCCCTTGCATCAAAATAAGATTATCTTTGTCATAAAATGTGTCATCCAGAGAGTTCCCCCATAGCATAAAATGCTAAACTCTAGCTGGGGTCACATAATTCATTAGTCTTTTTCCTTTACCCTATCCTGTTTCTCTCAAAGAAACACTCCTCTGATCCCCACACCTACACTATAAAATGTTACCTGAAGATGCATACCTGTCCTCTGTTCTTTTTCTAGGGTATGGGGCCTAAGACAAACGTGTTTTAATATCTATTTCAAGCTCTCTCATGATTTTGCTTTCCAAAAATTCCTTGGCAATTCTTGCATATATTCCTGTTTAGATAAATTCTTGAATCCATTTATTATAGCCTATGCAAAGTCCTCTAGGGATTTACATTTAAACACTTTAGATTCAAAACACACTTAAAAACATTGAACTCATAAGTAGTTACTACTAGTGAGTAGGAAAGTTTTCTTTTACGGGTGTCTAGCTAATCATCTTAAAGAACTTTCTTATTTGGAAAACTGTCAACTTATATTTGGGTTTATTTGGATTTTTTGAAAGATAATTATAGGGCCTCCCCTTGTGGTGCAGCGGTTGAGCGCTGGGTTGCGAGGCTGCCCACAGCCTCTGCAGTGCCAGTTCGATCCCCAGCCGTCAGCGAGGGTCCCACAAAAAAAAAGAAAGATAATTATAAAATTCCTGAATAATAACATGACCTCTTTGTGCCAACACTTGTTCTTCTGGTGGAAATGTCATCAGTACAATGAAAATCTCCTAA